CAATTGTACTATTGTAGATCAAAGTTCACTGTCCTACATTCCGTCAACCAGTCGTAATACTCACTAGTTAGAGAATTGAACCTACGAAGCCCATTAAAAATGGTCATGTGACATAATATAGACTTAATTAGACATACCGGTAATTATTGTCATTAAACGGGAACGTTACGACTAACCCCTGGATCCATTCACTTGATCTAATGCCTTTTTATTTGAAATGTCTGCGTACATGTACAGTGTATATAGTGTCCTGCCTGTGGGTTTGTCTTGTATAATTCTTTATGTTTGGTGCAGTCCTCCTTCACTTACTGTTAGTCACAGCTTTTTTGAAAGAGATTTTCCATGTTACAGATGCCTGTGTAGGCCCTACTCTTCTTTGATTTCCAACTGTCCAGAATTATTTTACGTTCACAGCAACAATGTATACAGGTACCGGAATGGAACCATGAATGGACCTTGGTATTTTAGACCTTCAGAATGACTTAAACAAGAGCAAAATCTGCTTATTACAAGTCTTTCTTTAGGCCTGAAATGTTATCTAAATTACCAATTAGACATTAATTAACTTATCCAGACCATAATAAACTCTCGATGTCAAGGCTAGCCTTCGATGTACATGTAGGCTGGATTAGATTCCTATATGCCGCTAACGGCCAAAGATAATTAAATCAGAAAAAGTGGATAATCGAGACTATGCTGTTTATATTAATGATTTTAGTAATGATAACCGAGACTATGCAAAAATTTCACCGGCTTCTTTCTCGGCTCATAGTGGATCAATTTGACTGAAATTTTCAGCAAATTACCTTTACACTATCTATTTTTTAACTATTATAGCGAGAACTGCCATCTCTTTATCTTATCTCCCATAATGTATCTTTAACTGACAGTTTGATTGTCTGCCCAACAGGTACCACCAAAAATCATTATTTCCATATCGGCTGTTACCATATGATACAACTTTTACTTTTTTTTTATAGAGTTTTGTGATCGGGTAATATTTAATACAGCCATTCATACTATATTAAGTGGTAGATACACCATAAATGTTACTCCACGCGCATTATGGATTAAAGTAAAGTTAATAGTCAGTTGAGACAGAGAGAGAAAGAGAAATGGGGTTTAACGTCCACTTGACATAAACTAGGTCATTTCCGTTCAATTTTATTTCAATAATTCGCTTCAACGTAGGGGTCTTTAGCAGTGGGAGGAAACCGAAGGACCTGGAGATTGGAGAAAACCATGAGAATGGACAGGCGATCCTACTCCTTGTCACGTACAACTGTGAATCGAAACCACGCTAGTTGACTCAATGACAGATCTTATGATACAACGTGCACGTGCTAACCATTCGGCCATCCAACCCCCCAGCTGAGACAGAGAATAGAAAATTATACTTTTATTATAAGATATTAAAATCATCTGTAAGTTTAACATTACATAATCAATGCCTAACAAGTCATCTTATTAAGTTAATAAATGGCTGTAACTTAGAAATGGTACTACATGTACGTTTACCAAATATTTATATATTGTATAGGCAAGCCTAGGCCCAAGGCACCTGTCACACACTTTCACTTTGTCAGACACAACGGGCAAAACAGTCCAGCATTTTGATCATAAATGGCCAAACATTTTGCTAAAAATAAAAACGTCCAAACAAGATTCAAAATGGTTTATGTAATACTTGTATTCATTATCAATCCAAAGCTATTTATTTACATACATGTAGCAATGAGTACTACAAATACATTGGGTGAAATGAACCAGCGGTTGCCAGGCAAGATACGCTCACATTTTGCAAGAGATGAATAGAGAACAAGCTGAAAACAAAAGCGTTTTTTGTACAATCAGGAGCCATAATCCAGAAAGTTATGGTCTAAAATGTGCAAATATATAAAGGGACTGAGATCTCTGAGATACACATATAAAGATATATTTTAAGTTTCATCAAAATCGGATAAAAATTGTGACCTGTAGAGTGTCTACAAACAAATTGTGGCCGGAAAGATAGCCAGGGGCGCCGGCATAATACGTCCACATGGAAATGTGGGCATATAAAAAGGCATTGGTTAATTTCAACATTTAAAATTTCTATCTCTCCTCTATCCACAACCCTGGGTTTGCACACCCTTCCATTCCTTGAAAATGTTACTCTCCACTAACAGCTTTTTGTATTAGAAACTCAAATTTCTGTACATTTGTAGTCATTTACACAAACAAGTATTTAAATTTAAGGTTAAAATAGATATATTTGAAATAAAAAGAGAGAGAGAGAAATGGGGCTTAACGTCCACTCGACACAAACTAGGTCATTTTGGACCCTCCATTGAAACAAGAAGTTCTGATGCATTCTGGGAAATTTATCTGGTAACTCACATTACATTTAGAGTAACTGCATTACATTTAGAGTAACTTGCATTACACAGTTAAAGTGCAAATAAATGATTTTTGACTATAGTTGAATTTTTTTAAGAGTGTTCAAAAAAACTTCTTAATGTTTTGTAAAATTATCTTGTAAGCTTAAACAGGCAAATTATGTAAAAGATAAATCTGCATATTGCAGGTCTTTGTTTGGGCCTTAAAATGTCATGTAAAATATCAATTGGACATACCGGTACATGTAAAATTATAAACCATAATCAACTCTCGGTGCCATCAGATGGCCCCAATTTTAAGTAGGTTATAACGGTTTGGCCATTTAATGATGAAGGCTAAGACTCGAATGACAAATATAATGGTTACGATCAATGTACAATGTACACAAATCTTGTCAAAACTACAACCATTGATAAGTTTGCTCAAAATAAAGCAATTTGAATGAAATTTTCAATACATGTATTTTGCATAATTATCTTTTTTTGAAATAGAACGGTCAGCTCTTTATCTAAATTTTACACAATGTCCCTTGGCTTTAATTGTTTTTGCAATGAATTAATATCTTTTTGGCATTTTGATCAAAACATCCTTTTGAGTCCTGACCAAATTATGGCTGCTTTGAACAAAGAGAATTTTGGCCAAATGACAACATGGCACATAAGTGCCTTCTTTCTAGGCTTGTGTAAAGATTAAAATATAATTACATACATTTATTGTAACAAGGTTATCAGAGCTAGTACATGTAAGCTTATAATTATTAGAGAAACAAGATAACCCAGAGCTAGTGTAAGCTTATAATCATTAGAGAAAGGCTGTAAAACCACAGACAGGTAGATCGGACATATTAAGGGGCAGGTTTTTATATTTCTTAGATACCATTCACTGTTGGTCCTTGTGTATTTTTAAAGATAGGTTCCCAGAAAAGTATTTATCGGGTGGTTATTTCCAATAAAAGTATGGCAATTTTGGTATATATGGAAAGTACATGTAGAGATATCCAATCTTACTAGAAAAATACTGGATTCCCTAAAAAAACACCCATGAAGCATATACAGGACAAAAATGTCAGGGTTCCCCTAATCGACAGCCCGACGATTAGGAATATCTGCACGTGTGACGTCAAAGGCTGCACGCAGAGATTGAGCTCTTGATGTACATGTTGATAAACTCTATAAAGAGTTAGAATAGATGTACAACACTTTCTGAGATAAAAAAATCACGGCAAAAGACCCGGGCAGTGGATAATCCGAGAATTTAATTAGGATTCGATATTTCATTATTTGTAATAAATAGTCAGCAATTAAAGACATCGTCTTGTGTGTGCAATGAATTCTCCTCCGACTTCGCATCCGTAAGTCACGTGACACAAACATGACCTCTTTTGATCGATTTTTTATAGCAACGGTATTCCTTGACAATTAGTGAATTACAATGTTTTGAGAAAGATTTGAAGCAAATTTATGATAAATTAATTAGTTTGAATCACCCAGTTTGTACACATGAATGTATCTTTAATTAAGTTTAATTAATATTAATTACAATGTTTTGAGAAAGATTTGAAGCAAATTTATGATAAATTAATTAGTTTGAATCACCCAGTTTGTACACATGAATCTTTAATTAAGTTTAATTAATATTAATTAGGGTATTATTATTGTGGGTTATTGTTAACAGAATATAAATTATATCAAGAATTGAGTTGTTCAGTTACTCACTGTACATAATGTTTAATCCAAATTTGAAATTATAGATTGAACATATACAGTACATATGTAAATGGGTTAACTAGGACATCATAATTAATAAAAATCAAATGAATGGATGTTAAAATGAAACCAAATATTATGTCAGTGAGTATTTAGGGAAAAGTAGTGACAGTAGTGTCAAATATGTTGTGAAATTGGTGGATACTTCCACAGCTACTAAGTCGTACCACTATTTCAATAATGATTAAAATTCTGAGGATTAACCTATCATTTATGGTCCTCACTCCTGACTGTGTCAACAACACACAGTGACACACGTGCATCTTTTTTCTTTCTTTTTTTAGGAATAGCACTTATTTATAAGTTGCTACAAATAAATTTTATCTGTTTTCAAAATTACTTTAATCTGATTATTGGGTAATGTGTATGCTGCCGTTTTGTTGATAAAGATTAGGACCCATTTGTTGTAACCCTGTTAAACTTAAAGGTTTATCTCGGACATGGCATGGAGCCTTGCCCTGTCATGAGCAGTGTCGACTGAGACCTGTGTTTCACTGATCACAGTCTAGTACTAGCCTAGAAGTAGTACTATTAGGCTATTAGTAATAGTAGTTGCGCTGTGAATATTGACATTTTTACAGAATTTTAAACAAAGTTTGTAGATTTAAATTCTTCAGTAAATATGTCTACGATAACCATTAAGTCCATAAATGTTGCTTAATGAACCACATCTTGCTAGGGAATTTAATAATTCTCGACCAAAATGACCCAGCATCGACAGGAAGTGTGGCGGCCATTTTGAAAATGACATTTTTAGAACACTTAATTTATACGCTTTTCGCTTAATAATCTTCTTACATGCAAGGGAAATCGCGAAAAATATATTCAACGTCAAAATAAATAATAGTTGCTTACCTCCCAATAATTATGATTCGTTATTAAATCCTGCATGGTTATAAATCCTTATGTGTGTTACGGCTGTGTCGATACTTCATTGGGGAATCATTTTAGAGGTGAAGGTCGTGAAGGTAGGGTATCCCCTGTGACGTCACGATATATCTGTATTCATTCATCGAAAATATCATCGTCAGACATCAGATAAAAATGAGGTACTCGAGATTGAAATTGGTCCACCCTTTCGAAATAAAGTGATTATTATTATTACAAAATTATTAAGGAGAGGTGAGGACTTTTATTGGTGATTTTTTAAAAAAAAATATGCCTTCACCATTACAGAGACGGGAAGAGAAATGGGGTTTAAACGTCCACTCATATTGGGGTTAAGATGCGGTTCGATTTTATTTCAAAAATTTGCTTACAAGTTGGGGCCTTTAACAGTGGGAGGATCGGGAGAAAACCCACGAGGTTGGACAGACGATTGTGAAACATGCATTTATCAACGGGAACCACATCAACTCAGTTGTGCAATTTCTTCATGGTAGCACACAACATATATCATGTATTCATAATTCATTAGCTCGGTTGGTGCAGAAAAGTAGGAAGTTAAATCCTATTTCATTTCCATTTTCCTCCAATCGTTTATGCAAATGGTCATATTGTGTTCGGTGAGGCAAAGTCTTCCAATTCTCGACGTTGTATATCTTTCTGGCGAACGCTGCAGCTGATCGGTCGTTTCTTTGGACTTTGGAGCTTCGTCATTATCCCGGTCTTCTTTCAGCTGTCTCTTTGTAGTGTTCGCAATATTAGGCCTACGGTCAAATATTAAGTGCAAGGGCGCAGATCCGGGGGGGGGGACGTGTCCCCACCTGGAATTTCACTGGGGGAGATTTCATATGCCTCGCCCCCCCCCCCCGAAAAATGCATCGATAAAATTTCAAAATTCTTATTTTCAGCCCGGGAAATGTAGCCTATATTTCCGAACATGCCGATGTACAATGCCCAGAAATGGTCTCTCAGATAGCATTTTGAGGCATCCTAATTTTAAAAAATCTTCCGGGGGAGGCACCAAGACCCCTAAATGCGCCTGTAGCGCACGTGGCGTATTCCTTCGCCCGCCGTACTCTGTCAGCGTCTCCCAAAACTTCAGTCCTATTTTCAGGCTGAGGATATTTCCCCTTGGTTCTTGGTACGTTCATCTCTGCAGAATGCTCAGAAATGGTCTCGGCTAGCGTTTTCAGGCATCCTGCTTTCAAAATTTTCTGGGGGAGAACCCCTAGACCCCCCACAGAACTGTTCGCGCCTGCGGCGCGAGCCGTGTGTCGGGCTACGCCCGCCACCTCCCCCTAAAATTTACTAAGATCTGCGGCCATGATTAAGTGTGATGGCATAGGCTCTACTGGAAGATACCATAACTGACCCAGTAACTTTTTAATGGTTCCCTTGGATTTGGTGCAATGAAATGAAAATGAAATGGGTTTTAACGTCCTACTGTTCTGCTCCTAACCTAATGAAGACGGGCATACGCCATACAGAGTGCTATGAGGGAAATTTTGACCGGGCAGCGGCGCCAACTGCCAAAGGATCTTTTACGTGCACGCCAATGTGTACACGGGACCTCGGTTTTTCGTCCCATCCGCACAACTAGACAGCTGTCCTTGTCATGCCCTCCGTCCTGCATCACTGACAAGGGGAAACCACGCCGGAAAATCGGGATGAACTTTCTCGGCCAATGCAGGGATCGAACACCCGACCTCCAGACTAGCGAGCCAGCGTCTTAACCACTTAGCCACGTGATCTCCAGGATTTGGTGCAGTAAACCACTTTTTCATGTAGGTCTCCCAGATATCACCCTATTTCATCTGATCGCTACCCCTCGAAGGACAAAGTCACATTTTACTATGAAACATCACATCAGTACCGGTATTTACAGATCAAAATGTAATGTAAATGAGAGACTGAGGAAACAAACCGTGAGCGTGAGAGGGGAAAGGCGATTGGCAATGGTGTAAGAGGTGTGTAGATCAGAGATTTATATGCTTTTCATGAAAACATAGCATGTTTTTTAAAGTTTCAGAGTTGTCCGCCACAACTCCACGAAAAGTAATGCGCCGAGGTTAGGTACCCAGGCCCTATTCAAACGGTCGCCGGATGTGGCGTACGGGAGCCCTCTCCCAGAGAATTAAAATTACACACAATGTGTGAGGGATAATTTGCCAGGACTGCGTAGTTTTCGACTATTCTTCTACGAAATCCTTGTTTGGTCTCGGACGAAGGTCTGGCAATGAATAAAATTGAGTCAATCTGATGAGAAGAAAAACCAATGTGAAAATCGAAATAATAGTAAATTTCCCTTATAGCACACTGTATGGAGTATGTCTATCTTCATTATCTCGCTTTGTGCAAAAAAGCAGAACGTCAAATCACATTTCATTATATTCGCCACAGCGAAAAATAAGGGCAACATATTGATTGTACGTACAGCATTTGGTATATACAGAGGTGAAACAGTGGTATATGGGAAGCTTACCGAACAATAGGATTTTTTTGTTCAAAAGAGTATTTTCGATATAGATGGAGGATGTAATTGGATAGTGGTTCTGGAATTATTAGCAACCCACCTCCCGGAAACAAAATTGACAAAAGACAAATGGCCTTTGCAACTTGGGGTCCTCCAGAGATTGAGGTTACTTCAATTGTAAATGCTGAATGAAAGTATCATTAGGAGAAATGTGTTTGAAGATTCGTGTGCCTTTCGACTGAACACAGACAGAGGGCTCTTACACTGGAGTCAACGGGGACCCCTATAAAGTTTTTCTCTCCGGATTCAGCATTTTCTTTCAGTTTTCTCTTTGGAGATCTTCAAAATATTTCGGGTCGGAGGCTGACGCATCTGCTATAACCCGCTTCTACCAAGGAGGAAATCATTGAGTTCGCCAAGAGCCGATTTAGATAATTGCAACCGAGAGACAATTTCCGAGAACTTCTGCATAAATGCATTAACTTTGTCGGTGGTGAACCTGAACGTGGATTCCATTTTCTTCACCCATGAGCACTACACAGAGCACGATGGATGGTCCAAGCGATCTATTGCCTCAAAATTTAAATGTTTCGAGACATGAAGAAAACGTGAAGAAAAACGACTGCTTGAACAAGGTCACTTCACTACTCCACTCTACAGGAAAGACATGCAATTGTGGTTTACTGCACCAAATCCAATAACATAAGCTGGCAATGGATGCTCTGTTTTGAGCGTCATTAGATGTTATAATTTATATAAATAACTAAGGTTGATGTACCCCGCGGAAATCTAAAAATAAATAGATGACACATATTAATTAATTGCACATTTATCTTTTTCAAGGCTATCGAGCAATCAAACTGATTATCAGGCATCGATATTTCCGCGCACATGCGCACGCAGGCACATTTGCTTTAAACAAAACTTTTTTGCAGGCACATTTTTAAATTGTTTTGCCTCGCTCCGCTCGCCACATATATTTTTACACCACTCACCAAATCCTGGCTACATCCCTGTGTTTCAGTATGACCCTGCAGGCACATTTTCAAGTGTGTGCGCAGGCACACTCAACTTTTATGGAGCCCTGCTGATTATCTATATTTAGTCTCAGCATAAAATGTTCACTATCAAACTCAGTCAAGGTTTTGAAGTACCTGATAGTGAAAATATATACTAAGTTTTATCACTCTTCATCAGTTACAATCCAAGTTATTTTACCTTGCTTAGCTTTAAGCTGGAAATGATATTCATTTAATACGGTGATTCTCAACCAGTGTGCCACGGCACACAGTTGTGCCGCGAGATCTTGGTAAGTGTGCAGCGAAATTTTGAACGGAACACTAAGAAAATGCGAAAAATCACTGGTGTCTACTGATAAGTTCATAGCTGTGTTTTACTTTATTTAGTTTGACTCATTCTGTGTGTCTATGACTAGTCTGTGTCTACGGATGTGTGTCGTCTATGACCTTATTTTTGCAAAATTCAAATATTTTTCATATATATTTAGCTAGGTGTGCCGCTATTTTTTCATGTCTTCCATGGTGTGCCGTTGGCAAAAAAGGTTGAGAACCACTGATTTAACTCAATCAAGACATTACCTAATGAACATTTACATCAAGTTTAAATATTCTACCTCAATTAAAAACAGAGTTGTTATGTCCCAACGTCTAGACCAATCAAATTGCTTATCTCTACTTTGCCTAAACAGAAAAGTCTTATCATCGAACTTAGTCAAGGTGTTGATATAATGAATCTATAGGCGAATTTTCATTGCTCTCACCCAATTAAAACCAAAGTTATCGTGTTCCAAATCAATTTGCTTATCTTTGCTTAGCCTTAGTGGAGAATGTGCATGGTCGAACCCTGTCAAGGTATTCACCTAATAGACGCCTACTCCAAGTTTGAACATTCTACCTCAATTAGAAGTAGAGTTATTGTGTTTCAAAGCCTCGACCAATCAGAAGTTTCACCACTATCACCCAATTAGAATCAAAGTTGTCAAGCTCCAAAGTCTCGACCAATCAAATTGATTATTGCTCTGCTTACCCCGAGCCGACAATATTCATTATCGAACTTAGTCATTATAGTCAAGGTATTGATGTGATGAAACTATACACAAAGTTTCATCACTCCGATTTAATTAGAACCAAAGTTATCGTGCCCCAAAGTATCGACCAATCAAATTGCTTATCTCTGCTTACCCTAAGAAGAAAATGCTTATCTTCGAATTCAAGACATTCACCTAATAAACACCTACACTAAGTTTGAACATTCTAGGAGGAGAGTTATTGTGTCCCATTAACAAAAACACTGCTTAAGAAGCCCCCCGACCCTTCCTTCCTCCTTTAAGCCCCCCCCCACCCTTCTTAGAGATGAGTTAATCAAATTTGGCGTACAGCATTATTTTCTTCGTTAGAAGTTTCACTATTGGTTCACTAGAACATAACAATAACTTAAACATATATACATTATGCAAGAGCTAAATCTGTCTATTGCAGGTCTTTCTTTAGGCCTAAAATGTTATCTAAATTATTAATTAGACATTAATCTTATCCAGACCATAATCAACACTAAATGACATCGCTAGCCTGCGATCTTTAGTGGATTATGAGCCGA